AAGCGGCACTAGTTTCTACAGTTAATTATGAAATAAATTGGGCAGATTAAAACAAATTGATTAAATCTATAAGGAACAAACTAATTTTTATTACACTCGAAATTAGTTGTTATAATGTATCATTCTTATTAAAATGATATTTAAGTACCACCCCTCACTTCAATGATTTAAGATTTGGAATAATAAAATATGGTCATCTCAATTAAAACTCTTAGACAAATGTTTATAGAACCTTTAGGCCTAAATCAATAATTATGGTCCATTCAGCACAATATTTTGATCAGATATTGGGTATCTCCTAATTGCATTCTAATGTTTTTTCTTTGAATGTTTTAAAATATTTTGCGTTTTTTTTTTCAGGAAAAACAAACATGATAAATTTTATTTGCCTCTTCCTTGAAGCTGTACGTCCTTGTAATTGAGATTTCTTTGTAATCAATTTCGAATTTATTTCTAACAATTTTGATAAATCAAACAGACCAAAATCAAAGAGATTATGGTCTTTTTTGATTTATCATTCTTATTTTTAAAAGCAATCATAATGCAATATCCTATAAACTATTTGGTTCCATTCTCTCACAAGTATATGAACACACATTTGAAATTATTGTGCTAAATTTTAATATATCAATAGTTGTCACTCTAATGATTGATTCACCAATTCAGCCCGTTTTTTTAAAGATTTAGTGAAGTTATATGCCTTGAATATTGGCTTTTAGAATGTTCTTTCCACTCTTTTCAGTCTTCTTGAAACTGGTGATCTTAAGACCATAGTCTTAACAAACAACTTAAAATATTACCTACGAAAAGTGATTTATTTATAAAAATTCATAAATAATGATAATATAAAAATTCATAGAAATTTGAATGATGGGTGATGTCTATTGCAAAAATTGGAAAAGTTACTAAACTCATTTGTTATTGATTAAAATAATCTTATGCATATGTCTTAAGGTTAAGGTGATTGCCATGCCTTGGGGGAAAATCCTAGTTACATTAAGTTCCATTTTTTCTATTATGTCTGTGAGTGCTTTGTTAACCAACCACACTCCATTTTTACAGCATTTTTTTAATAAACCCGTTCCCAGTTTTTTGGTATGTCATAAATATTTCATATTACTTCGCCTATACAAACGGAGACGTTATTTCATAACTACTCTCGTTTCATATAAAATTCGCGTTGAATGCATTTTAAATGCCTGCAATATTTCAAACTCTGTATATCTGTGTAATAAAAATGGCATGTTTTCGTCATAATATAGATGTCATAATATAGCTATTCTGCTGTTTTGCTGTTTTGCTGTTTTGCTGTTTTGCTATTTTGCATGTCGATGAATAGTTTATGATGCATCAATACTACTTATGTACCAAGAAATATCTAGCGTGCAAGGAAAACTTGACGTAGAATACCTACTTCAAATATCGATGAGGAAAAGTTTGTATGGAAATGTTCGCTTTTCCACAAAACACGTGTTTGGGAATAATACACACGCAAATGTCACACATTGCGCTAATTTCAAACTTTTTTTATTGATTGTTATATATTTCAATTAAATGCATTAGCCTTTATTTACTGCATTTTTTGCAGTAAAACTTCTTTATGCGCGACTAGGGTGTTAATACGTACAAATGCAACGTTACGGTAGATAAGATAAGATCAGAGTCGGGTACCAATGATTTGTCATTCGCTATTGATGATATCATTTCTATACGGGTTGATTGCGATTATTCGTCGCATATGTGAATAGAGATCTGTCGTTGTATGCGTACCAATATTAACAAGGAAATCGGCATAGATAAACATCGTAGTACAAATCTTGATTTAATGAAAAATCTGGATCAGAAGAAAATTCTACCCTGACCCCAGTAAATAATTATAATGATAATAATAAAACAAATGCAGCATTTGCGCCGTGTATGAAACATAAGTTTATTGAAATATTTTCTATGTTATTCGAAGTTTCTATAAATCTTTGAAGTTATTGAACATCTTCACGTTTTAGGTTTCTGAACATTTGGTATACCTTAGAAAAACTGGATCTGTGTGTGTGTAGTGTGTGTACGTATGGATTTTTAAACAAAGTTTTAGCCATTTTATTTTTCAAATATTCAAAGATATGTATCTATCCACGGAATTTTAAGCAAAGAAATGTATTATTAATTATATATATTTTAACAATTTATTGTTATTATAATTAATTATATATATTTCAATTTTTTTGGATCGCTAATATTATTTAAGATTTTATTCCTATTCTTTAATCTGAACATTTGCTAGAAATTATATTTCTTAATAAGTTATATAAAATATGAATATATTTATGCTACAATTAAAAATAATTATAATATATTAAAATTATGTATTAATTTTTTTCTTTATTTTAATAAAATCATGAAGTATTATCAATATTATGAATTCTAATGAAAGTTAATTTAATTATTAGTGACAAATTTGCTTTAAAGTATTTTTAACTTCAAGAAAAAGGTACCCCATATCTCTAAAATCATAAAAAATATTAAAATAAAAATTGAGTAGATATTTTTCTAGAATAATAATCATTTTCCTTAAGAAAAATAAAATTAAAATTTATATGTATTTGTGTGTATTGTGTATATTACTTTTATTTTGTCTATTTAAATATTTTCTATCGTTAAAAGAAAGTAACATCTGTTATATCGGTTTGCCATCTACCGTCTGTAGTGTTTGAATATAGTAAGCTTTTATTTACACCACAGACAAAAACATTTTCTTTGCATACAACATAGATTTATTCATTCTATTATATATAAAAAAAGTATTAATTATCGTACAGTTTAAATAGATAAAATTCTATTTGAAAGTAAAATATTTGTAAATTGTTCCTAATATAAAACTCGCCGGTTATTTCACAATGCATCAGGAGTATTCAATAAAAGTTGTGTGGAATCTTCATTAACATGTGATCAGATGTGTCAATAAGAGCTAAGTCCGTCTTCTCACGTAGATACTACCAATTAATAGAATATTAAAAAACAATACATATTATTGATAATTGCTTTTGTGTTTAAATTTATTTTCCCATAAGTTCTGGCTTCAATTAATTTGCAAACCCAATTAATAGAATTAATAGAATTAATAGAATTTGTAGAGAACAATACAGTCATGACATATAAATTTTGATGATAAATTAATTATGATAAGGTAATGATAATAATAATAATAATAAATAGTAGTCTGCCCAAAGGCAGGTCCATGGTATGAGAGCACCACAAAATCAAGGATTGTCTTTCCCTCCCTTGTTTATTCTTTCCATTGCCGTTTTATTACGACTAGTTAATGACTATAAATCACTCTATATTCGTTTTCATGAATTTTTCTTTCCAAACTTGTGTTTTTATGCTTCCTGGCCTTGGGCTTCGGCATTCAGTTCTCTGTATTTCTACTTCTCGCGTAAGTCATCAACCATGTGCATACTTCTTCTTCCCAAACCTTTCAGGCCTTCTATTTTGCCTTCGACGATGTCATGTGGGAGACACTCTATTGCAGAATGGGTCCGATCCAGTTTTCTTTTTTTCTCTGGATCGTTCCCAATAGACTCCTTTTTTCTACAACTCTTCTCAAGTCTTTTTCATTTGTTACCTTATCAGTCCACATTATTTTCTCCATTCGCCTCCAGCACCATATTCCAAAACTCTCCAGACAGTTCTTGTCTTATCTTAGAGTCCACGTCTCTCATCCGTACAGATCTATACTCCAGACATAACACATTAACAATCTCTTTCGCAAGTTGAGACTTAGGAATCGATTTTGCTGCATAAGAGACAAATGTTATGGCAAGGTCATGTTATGAAGAACTTTCCATACTAATATTGACAAAAGCCATGCGGTTGGTGCGTGGCGAGGCGAATTTCTCAGGTAGTCTGATAGAAAACATAACCTAGAAGCCGCACAAATGTTAAAAAACAATGTTAGATAGCATGGTCTTTCTAACTCGGCTTTATAACAGACGACTGACGTAGCAGTTTAAGTGTAAAACGCCTGAATGCACAGCAAATACATGACATTTTGACAGTATTCAGAATGATTTAGAAGCATAATGTATGGAACTTGGGCCGCAACATGGCCTTGCCATAACATTTGACAGTTATGCGGCAGAATTGGTCCCTTAATTTGCTCGACAGCAGCGTTCTCTTGGAATCCTTTTCCTGATCTCTTCCGTGCAGTATCCTCCTCTGGTCAAAATGCTTCCTAAATATTTGACATGATCAACGTCTTCCAATTTTCGTAATATAATAATGACATATATGTTTTTGTGATAAGAGATTTTAATACAGTTTTATATTAGGTTGTCAAATATCTCCCTTCCGCTTGTTTGCTCTTGGTTTATAATACAAAAAGGCGGAAGGGAGATATTTGACAATCTAATACTTCTCATAAAACGCGTTTGGACTTACGGAATCGAGTTAAGGGGATGCGCAAGCAAATCCAATATAGTAATGATGCAAAGATGTCAAAACAAAATACTAAGAAATGTAGTCAACGCACCGTGGTACATAACTAACCTATTCATAAAGATTTAGATATTACATACGTCACAGATGTCATCAAGAACAGAAGCTCGATCTACCTCTCAAAAATTTACTGCCACTACAACCAGCTCATTACCTCTCTAAACTCCTCATCACTTAGAAGACTGAAAAGATGCTGGCCAAGCGACCTTATATGAAACACTAGGCTTCACACATTGGAGTTAACTCTAAATATTTTTTTTTCTTTTTCTTTTATTATTATTATTTTTTTTTCTTTCGATTCCTCTCGTTTGTGTCACAATAGCTTATAAGATTGAATTGTATCTTGATTGCTATTTTAATAAATAAATTTAAAAAAATGCTTTTATACAATCGAGAAGAATCTCCAGTGATAAGACGTCCTAATTCGTCGATGGTCACATTTCTATGAACTCGTTTGATGAGCTCTAAACACATACATATCGTTCCAGCTGCGTGTTGCGCGTTGCATCATAACCACCGAGCGAATCACACACCTAATCGAAGCACTAACACACATTTCGAAATTCGGCCTGTGATAATTTTGATAAGATAGGGACACATAACACAAAATTAGATACACCAAATGTGAAGAAAAAAGTTACCTGTAACATTCAAACAAACACCCATTCGCACGTGGGAAAGTCACATCTCAGTGATTAAAATGAGATGAATTAAATAATGTGATTGTGGAAAAATTTAAATTCAAGACCATGGATGATTTGATGTTGCCATTTCCCGTAATCCGGGATATAGCAATAATAACGATATTATTTGGAATTGCTTTGTATTTTTACACAACAAAAGGTTTCGATTTCTTCAGGTATGTTTTTTATATCACTAGTCCGTTGTGTGAATGTTGATTGACTGGTACTCGTTTTATATATATATTTAAATTCATAAAACCTTGGTTCATTTTTCTCACGCACATAAACATAGTAACAAATACTGAATGTTTGTTTAATGAGCGATTAATCATATCAAATATATAATATATTATTTATTCCGACTGGCGACAATGAGATAAAAAGTGAGTAATATTGATATGACGCTTGTGTGTGCGCATGTTCAGAAAATAATATTACTTTATAGACATAACATGATATAAACCTGTTTTAAAGTAATTTATTAAGATATTATCTAAGGTGAGAAGTTCTAATCCAAATTACTAATCTATCTATATTTAACACATCCATATGCAAATTTTTAATTATATTTTAAAATTGCTTGCCAACTATCTACCTGATTCAATCGCGTGAAATTAACCAGATATGGAACAGATAATTAAAATAATTACTGTAATTAATCAATAATATTTGTTTGTATAATTACCAACTTATGATATAGGTATATGTTCGGACGTATTTTCGTTTTATTATATTTTCCATGAAGGTGACAATCTTCATGGCATTGAGCTTTGCACGGAATGATTGCTACCCCAGGTAGAGAGGGTAGGGGAGTTTTTATTGGAACTAATTGTTCACTTCTAAAAATAGTCAGTGAAACAACATGTATAATAAATAATCAATAAATATATCTTCTTTCATTATAACTTAGTAACAAATCAGTGATTGTAATTAGAACTGCAACAAATACATAATATACAAACAAATCAGTGTTTAATACAGTCCACAGCCACGAGGGTTAAATTATAACCCAACAACCTGAGTTTATCGAAGGAGAGTTTTAATAAATTTCATAACTACATAACATAATTACAGTATACTTGAGTGAAAAAATATTTGTAAAAACATAAAATATACTAATTAGACATAATACATTAATTAAACCAGTATTATTATACGCCTCTCTTGTATGCGACAACAGAGACAAACTCACGGAGACTACAGACAATACAAAACAAGGCATTGACACTACCACTAAACAAATTGAGAGACCCACTGAGAAGACATCAAATACAAACACGATCAGGCTAACATACCGAGAGTATATAACTATATAAAGGACATTTTTAAAATTTTTACCTCAAATGTAAGAATTTCAACATCCAGGCACTTGGCCAATTCACAAGAGAAATGGTTTGGTGCGGCAAATATGCCATGACAAACTATACCCTGATCGAATCATAATTAAAATGAGAACACTATATTATTAAAAATATGATTTATGTGATTTTTTTGAGAGAATGTCCAATTATGGTCCAACTTTTCCTTTATTTTTATTACATGCTTATCATATATTGTATATTTTATTTACTTTTTATATACTATTATTGTTATTAATATCACGAATATACATTTATTTTTAAGAAAATATTTTTTCGTATTGAAAAATCGTAAATTATACTAAGAAGTTATGCAATCAGCTTTTTTATGTGTCATTTTCACTTGTTTAGTACGAATTATAAACAAATTCAATATATGATTCAACGTGCATAACGCATAATTTAACATACAATGCTAGCATAAATTATTCCACATTTGAACACAATTGTTATTTCTAGGTTAAAATATTCAATCGCATTTATAACAAAAATAACAATAAACAAATGTGACTCAAACTAGATGTAAGTGGTATTTTGTCTTTCCATTATGTATGAATAATCAGCATGATCAATAAGAATTTACTTTGTCCACTTTTCAAATTAAAGAATTTAGAATATTAACACATTCTTATTTAAAATTTTAATTTTTTTTCATAATATAATTGCAGGTATATGATATTCTAGAATGTTCAATAATTATATCTTCACACAAGGTTGTGTTAATAAAAAAAATCCAACAGTTAACTTATCGAGCTTCATCGAATAGCTTAATTAATTAGACTTTTAAAAACATTTTAATCTTTTGAGGGAAAACGTCGACAAAAGGCTAATTTTTGACCTTGGGTCCAATATTGATCAAAAAGTTGAGAAATGTTAAAAGAGCAGAAAATTTTCAAACCAGAAAAATTATTCAGTATGATTTCTAAGGAGTAAATCGATACTACAAGAATATTACTAGTTTATTTTCAGCGCGAAAACCTGAACGTGATGATTAATAATTTCAAGTGCTTTTCTATCACGGATTAAATAGTTTGTTTACAAACATGCCGCAATTATACACTAAGACTTTAATCTATTATTGATTTAATTAGTTTTTGGAATTGAATGATTCACCATTGGTTTGATTTTTAATCTAGATGTACTAAGCACACAATAGAATTAAGCTGATAAATCCTATATAATTTTTTATATATATTTCCATCATCGATCAGAACTTACTGTGCCATCATCCTAAGTTCTAAAACAGCGTAGCTTTTATAGATAGCAACCAAAACAAATATCCTATTTAATTGATTAATTAATTATTACAATATCGAGTTCCTGATTCATAGTCTAAGCCATGGAAAAGTTCCAAAAAAACTACAACTTGCTTTTAGAATTTTAAATATGAATATGATAATACGAATGAATTTAAATAGAATTTATCAATGAATGTAAATAAAAAATCTGTTATAATATAACAAAATTAGCAATTTTAATTAGAAACGTGGAACCTGGTCCGCTCGTGAATTTAAATAAAAAATCAGAAAATGTAGTAAATGTCAGTTATGAATATATATATATATATATATATATATATATATATATATATATAATACATAATTTTGAGTTAATTTATTTATATTCAACTTTGTCTAAATAAAACTTTTAATTTAATCGATAATCGACTCTTGAAATATGCCATCATCAAGCAATACTTACCAAGAAAAACTAAACAAAAAATTCAAAATACTTTCTAAAACTTTCTTGTTTCGAGAAATAATATTTATAATAAGCTTTGTAATGTGCACTTTTATTCAAAACTTTAATTTAATGATTTCATTTATATTTTGATTAATATGAATTAAAAAAAAAAACATTTTGATCAGTAGTATTGAACTGTTGATTCATCAGATTCAAACTTTCATACGGTGGATTTTAATAAAAGCCGCAGCAAAACGTGGTCGGGCATGCTAGTATATATATATATATATATATATATATATATATCTTACCCAAAATTTAATTACTTTGATTGGAATATTTTCTTTTCAATTTATAACCACACGTGTGATCTGTTCAGTTTTTTTCTCGTCTAACATAAGTATATATATTATTATTATTATTGATGCTGTAAAATTTTATTGGACTTGCATCATCTCACAAAAACAATAAATTTAATATATACGTGAATGCAAAAATTTGACTTTAACCTTATACGGAAACATCCAATAAAATCTTTACCAACAATTTAAATATTAGCAATTAATATTGCATACGTTCTGTAATATTATCGTAATGCATATCGTCAGGAAATTCCATTTCGAAATGGAATATTTCCTATTAAAATAGAGAATTGTACATGACGAGCAAAAATCAGAAATAGACATATTAGCAATTTGAATGTTTGCATCATCCACATTTAATGACTAAGGCCTATCGATTCGGACCATCATTATCTAATACATGTCATCATTAAAACGCACTTTTTTTTAAATTGTCACGGAAATAGATATCTGATACCATTTGAATCTTATATATAATTTCATCTTGCAGAAAACGTGGTATTAAACATCTTCCAACATATCCTTTGGTCGGTAATATCGGTAGCTACTTGAGTGGAAATGCAAATTTTATAGACTGCATTATACAAGCTTATAATGCATTTCCTGATCAAAAGTGAGTCATTAGATATCTTAAAATAATTGGATAAATAATAAAAGTAAAACATAATATATTTACTTTTCAGAATGGTTGGATTTTATAATTTCAACGTACCATCACTCATTATTAGAGATCCTGATACAATTCAACAAGTATTATTCAGAGATTTTCAACATTTTTCAGAACATATCTTTCATGTTGATGAAACAGTCGACCCACTTTTTGGGAAAACTTTATATGCTCTGAAAGGTAAGATATATTATATATAATATATATATATATATATATATATAATATATATATATATATATATATATATAATATATTAATATATATATATAAATATAATTTTTGTAACTAGGTGATAAATGGCGAGCAATGCGAACAACATTATGTCCTGCATTTACCATAAGCAAACTACGAGGATTTTTTCCATTATTGGAAAAATGCTGTGAAGATATGATAAACTATATCGAAGACAACTCTAATTTTGGTAATGAATTATTACAATTATATCATATAAAAACCTCATCAAATATCTCATCTGTAAATACTACCCCAAAAATTTACTATGAGTTCTTTTGACCATTTTCAGTATAATATTATTTTCCTACCATGCTGCTCATTATGCACCTCATTTTGAATTTTTCATATGAGTAAATAATATTATTTCTTTATTAATAATCGTATTTGATAGGAAGACTTCTAATAGAAACTGAAGAGTTCTTTTCAAAATTTAACTACAATGTGAGCGCCACAGTAGCGTTGGGAACTGAGAAAAATACATTTAGAAATGACGACGAGGAATTCTATAAGATGGCTCAAAAGGCCACAAATTTCATTGGTGTACAAGGAATGAAATTCACACTTATGGCTACTTTTCCTCGACTATCCAAGGTATGGAAATCAGCATATAATTCTTAGTTTCAATAGTAATTTTTCATCTATTTTTTCAGTTTTTGAGAATAAAAGTTGTGGACGAAGTTCTAACAAAGTACTTCCGATCTTTAATTTATGACACCATATCATCTCGAGAAGTTACAGGAACTGCAAGATATGATATGATGCAGTTGTTAATTCAAGCTAAAAAAGGAACTCTTCAAGACGATGATTTAGGGGTAACTGCTGCACGAAGTAAATATTTAACCAAATATGTACTCATCAATTGCAATTTAATTACTATTTCTTTTTCTAGATAAAGAATTAACAGACGATGATATAACATCCCAAGCTTTAATTTTCCTCATAACTGGAGTAATAACTTCCACTTCAACAATGGGTTTCGGGGCCTATGAAATAGCAAACAACGAAGAAATTCAGAAAAAATTGATAGAGGAAGTAGATGAGGTTAGAAAGAAGCATAAAGGTGAATTATCTTATGAGATAATTGATAAGATGGATTATTTAGGCAGAGTAATATCAGGTAACTTATTGTTTATAAAAGAACACATTTAAATTTATAACAGCATTCTGATTTTTAGTAAATTTCTAGAAACTTTGCGGAAATGGCCGCCGGGAATTATTGCTAGGAATTGTGTGCAACCTTATACAATCACGGATAATAAAAATAGAATCACATTTAATGTGAGCAGATACTGTTATTTATCTAAATTCCGTGGTAATGGAATAATATTTGATTTTACTCACGTATTTTAGTGCGATCCAGGAGCTGTAATATATGTTCCCACAATAGCCATCCAAAACGATCCGAGTTATTTTCCTAATCCAGAAGAATTTGATCCTGATCGATTTTCGGAGTCCAGAAAAAGTGAGATACAGCCAAATACTTACATACCATTCGGTATTGGTCCTAGGAAATGCATAGGTAATTCTTGCACCAAAAGTCACAGGCCAATTCTTCCGTAAAATAGACTAATGTTACGTAGAGGCTATGCTACGTAGCACTTCTCATACAAAATGGTACTAAATACTATCAAAATGCTAGGTGGTTGCTGTGCAATCAGGCGTTTTAGATAGAACACCTAACTTAAAAAACGCACAGATGTCAAAAAAATAATGTTGTCATAGCTGCATCATAGTGATGTAGTATGATAACATATGAGTGAAGTTGCATTTTATGTGTATAACGCCTGCGTACAGCAAACACATGGCATTTTGACAATATTTAGTACCATTTTGTACAAGAGACGCTACATAACATAGCCTCTTTTCTTTGTCCTAATTTTGGTTATAAACTATTTCTTATTTCATTTCTCAGGTGTGGAATTCAGTATAATACTCGCGAAATTAGTGATGTTTCATCTTTTATCGAAATACACATTACATGTTTCGCCCAAAACAATACAACCAGTAGAACTTGCGAGCGGTTTCATGGTTCAAGCAAAAGGCGGATTGTGGATAAATTTACAAAGACGGGATTAGGTTAAGTTAACAAAGTTGTATTATTTGTAATATATTAATTGTAATAAAATCTCGATTATGTTGTTTAAATTTGTTTTCCAATTTTTAAACATGTTTATTAACTAGTTAAATGTCACGCGCTCATAAAATAGTGCGCGTAAAAGGTTAATGTTTTTCACTATTTATTGTAATATTTGTACAAATTAATGAAAAACAGAATTGCAGAAAGAAAGTAAAGAATGAAAATAGTAAGTAAGTAGCTTTTTGCTTTAAGGCAAGTTGCATGAACTTCTCGAGACGTAATAATCTATTTTACCAATAAGTATTTCTATTCAGCTATATTTAGGCAAAACGTTCATCTGTTATTTCGAAAACGAAATTTTCTGTTTTTCTAAAAAAATACCAATACGATTTCCAACTGATGTCTTTCAACTTTCAACTACTTAAAATGTCTGCAATTTTATCAATCATATTTCTTTGTTCAACACATTTTATTTCATATATTTAGTGTTTTAAAAATGTATTTCATTTAAGCATGGACGTCAACTGTAATCAGTAGATACATATAAAACGAATGAACGAATATACGTTTGGCATAGATTCTGATTATTTTGCCAAAGCGCTCATCGCGATTTTAAACTTTGATAAATTCTTATAATTGAACCGCTTATCGTAGGCCTATAATTAATTATATAATTTATTAATTATATTTTTAATATGCTATTTCAGGCAAAAACGTCATGCAAAGTTCAATCCAAATCGTCGGCACAATTCCCAAACAAGATTTTTTTAAACTTTATATAATTTTTCCAATCGATTCAGAATTGTTGGCTAAAGCGTGAACGAAAAAATACACCCATTTTTTATTATTATTTTTAAACAACAATCAGAACCTAATGGTTCTATAAGCTGTTGTGCTGAGTTTGACAGATGGCAATCCAATCAGTTGTCACATCTCTATATGATATATTATTATTACAATTTCTGTAATAGGGCGAGTATTTTTATTGGGCTATTTTCACTTGGTAACATATTGCTATCTATATTTCCAAGTGAAAATCGTTGTCAATGTTGCCTGAAAATAGGCTGCTCGAAGTGGGTATCGAACCCGGGACCTCTGAAACAAGTCCCGTCGCTCTGAACCGCTTACCTACGGACGAGTCCTAAAATACACATAAACGCTTTTTAGAAAACGTCCATCCAGCTAGTGGAAAGAAAACTGAATTATGATTATGAAAAAACATTTTAATAGTCTTGCATACGTTTCGAATCCGCATTTGACCCTTCTTCAGTAGATAAAACATAGATTATTAGAAAAATATAAAAACCACATTCAATAAACAATTTAAGTAATGGTCTCATATATATGTATATATATATATATATATATATATATATATATATATATATATATATATATATATATATATATATATATATGTTCAATTTGAGTTAAAAAGTCGGGCGTTACATCAATAAAAATAGTATGAGAGTTTTTAGAAATTTGTTTATTTAAAATCCATACGTTTCGGCTAGCATCTTAGCCTTCATTCAGTGGCAATCAATTGAACTATAAAAATTAAAACCAAATAAATAATATGTAAGAGATTTCATAGAAAAACAATAATAGTAATAGTAATAGAAAAAACACTTACAATTTTGTATCCTAATGTAAGTTTCTAAGAACTATCATACTATTTTTATTGATGTAACGTCCGACTTTTTAACTCAAATTAAACATATAATATCAACATCTACTTTCGCATTTTCGCATTTTATTTTTCAATGATATCTTATCCAGATAGCGCGGTAGATACTTACTTCTAATTCTAAGCAATTTTAACTCAACATTTCAAACTCTAACTCAAGACATTATTTACTTCAAATACTTCTATTAGTTCGTTTTACATTATCTCAATTTTTACTCATTCTTCTAATGAGTAATGACTAATGCTATTGCGTCTTCTTTTAATTTTTTTTAGCTTGACACTGTTTTTTTTTTCTCATACATACTAACTTAGTCAATTACAATTCTATATTATCATACACAAATTCGTTATTACAGTTCATTATTTTATTAGAAAGTGCCTGGAATCGAACCAACGATCTCCGGCATGTGAGTCGGACATGCTACTCATGAGCTATGTCCGCCACCATCAAATTCAAGACTATTCAAATATATATATATATATATATATATATATATACTAAAAATTATTTACCTGTAATTGTTAATTATGAATTCATATCACTAGTTTTTGTTAAAAGCACTGTAGTATTAATTTCACTTCACATCACCGTGCAAACTGGTATAATGATATGTATATTTTCTAAACCTTCATCTAATAATTACCACTGATTGAAAAAACATTTTTGTGTTATTTTAATGAATATAGCAATAAATTATTATTTCTAACTTTTCCAACTTACAAATAACTTACAATGTATTCAATCACAGTGAATCTTAGGAGTCTCCATTTGTAAGCAGTACAAATATATAAATAAACAATTATGTTAAAGTATATATTTTATTCACTTCCAAGAAAAAAATATATCTTTAACAAATCTAATTATAAATAAATTAATAGGAGACTATTTTCATACTAAATATAGAAAGTGAGAAATCTCAAAATTTATCAGAAATCACATTTTGTACTTACTATATTCCCAATAGAATAATCACGAACCTTAAAAATAGTTATGTATTATTTTTTATAAATAAATTCAATAAAATAAAATATATATATAAATGACCGCTAAATTGAATCTAAAAGACTGCACAAAAAACCGCAAGCGTTCAAATAATTACTTTTGATCTAACACAGCAATTCACATTTTATTCACAATTTTAAGTTGTTTATTTTTACTCCACTACACATTGTTGACTTGAGTTCATCTTCTTGCATAGGTGCGATATAAAATCATCGTTATAAAATATCGATAATTTTGTCGTGTCAATGTTTCGATTTCATGAAAACTGAAATCGCAAAATATGGTAAGTGAAATTGGGTCAATTAAATATACATTGGCAACACCATCCTTTTTTGCTTTCGGTGTTTAAAAGATTCACTGGCCAGTTGCACTTACGGGTTCATCGCAATCGTCTCCAGTAAAAGCAAAGCAGGTGACATATTACAATAGCTCAAAATATAATGGAGGTGACTTTAGTTGAGAATAACAAAACCCTAATAGTTTCTCATAAAATGTTATTTCATTTTGAATGTCCGATTTGCACCGAATTGCTTTACGACCGTATAAGTATTTGTACTATGGGACACAGTGCGTGTGATTTTTGCACAAAACAAACGCGGAATTGCACAATTTGTGGAAGTTTATTCCAAGGAGGTAGAAACTACGCACTAGAAAGTTTGCTGAACTACATAAGTGTTCGATGTGCATATGAACGTGATGGTTGCCGAGAACAAATGTCTACAAAATACTACAAGGAGCATTTGAAAACATGCATTTATCGGGAAAGACGGTGCTTTGCTTCAATTGTTGATGGAGACTCATGTTCATGGGTTGGCAAACTAGAAAACATGGTCGAACATTTCAACGAGTGTCATGAAGATTTGATAATGTATGATAGCAAGGCTCTTTGCAGCTGGGACTTCTACAACAATAGATTCGGTGTTAATCTTGTGAACGGCGAATATTTTCTTATTCGTGCTTGTTTACGGAATGGCAACAATGAAATGCTTTGCTTTTCGATGATCCCAGCACATTCCATACAACTCGACAACAACAACATTGCCATGAATAAATCACCAAGACGAGTTTCTGCGTACTGGAAATTAGACTTCAACTATTTCCAATTACAACACAGGTGCTTCCAAAATGGAGATTTCTTGGATGATGAGAACGAAATTGAAAATGCTGCCAACTACAAAATCTGTTTGATTGAAACAAATTTCCAGTCTGAATTCTTTACTGGTCTCGTCAAATTTCGTGTTGAAGTTTTCAAACCTAAAAAAGTGGAGTTCTTCATCTCCGCCAATGAATAATTGATTTAATTTGATTGTTAGTTTTTACGCAATTTTAGTATGCCATTGCTGGTCAAACTTTTTTATTTTAATACTTTGTATGCAATGAATTTTAATAAATTTTAATTACAATAAATGTCTTATTTCTGAATATATTAATTCATAAATCAGTTTACTCCACATATAAACTATTACTTCGTCATTCAATAGCAATTACTAATTTACATATTTAATCCTGTATTTCTGTTACACAGCTAAACCATTATCAATAAACGTATTTAGCTTCAAAAATATATTTTCAAAGAAAGTATTCGAATTCCGAAATCATAATAAAATGTTCGTATATTTTGATTTGAATATTACATAATGTATATGTGTTCAATCTCTCAAATTACATTAATATATTTTATGAACTTTCTACTTGTAAGAAGCATTATTTTCATTAAAACCTTTTTTTAAAGCAATAAGTAAAATTTTCAGCGTTCGATGTATGTTTCAGATAAACATATTTTAATTGTGAAATAGACAATAGTAAAATGGAGTAGCATTTATTTATATGTACGCAAGACTATAAATATATATATATATATATATATATATATATATATATATATATATATATGTATGTATACATATTCCAAAAACATGATTAACGCCATGTTCACTAAAAGAAGTTTCAGCCCAACAGCTCATAGGACGCAAGGTTCTGATTGCTGTTCAACAAAAATAATAAAATAACAAATAATAATATTTAAAAAAAATAATGTTCACTAAATATGCCATAATATAAGCAAAGTTGAATTATAACTTTTGAATATATAAAAAAATCATTCAAGTAATATTTGCATAACACCCACAAATCTTGAACTAATATATGTATAATGAAATTAAGTATATTATTTCTGTACAACTAATATTATTTATTTCTTAAGTTTCTGAACTAAACGCTTCCTTTATATTCATAAACAAATTATTTCATTTCTCAATTATTTTGCTCAAAGTTTCGTTCTTTAAAATACCGAATCAATTTTATAATACCGACGTTTTAATTACTACGTGCGAAATTTGTTTATAACAAAGCACACATCATAGGAAAAAAACATATAGCATCATCAAACATAGCATTGATTCCTATGAGTATTTGTTAATTAAAAAAATATTTTTTTGAATGCAGTAAAATATGAAATATTTTAAAACTTTTATTGCACCTCTTGTACCTTAGGAACAAGTATTGTTTGTACCTGTATTTTAAATAAAATTAGAACACCTGGTTCGAATTGTATAATCACTGTATTATTTGAAGTGAAATTTTGTGATGTTGCCAGGATAAAATTCTTTGACACGGAGGAAATAAAATATTGTCCTTTATTTCACTATCCTTGTGTCAATTTATTTTAACCTGGCAACACCGCACAATTTCATTTCCAATGTATTTCTGCGATTGGAATCAGTTGTTCATTTTTGCTCCAAGCGACAACTTCGCCAGTAAAACAGGTGAAACATGGATATGCTGGTTGCATTAAAAAACCCTTCGCTAATTGCTCCTAATTTATTGTCTAATTTCGAGTGTCCAATATGTAACGAACTATTTTACGGAACTGTGCAAATTTGCGTGAAGGGACACAGTGTTTGTGAGTCTTGTACTAAACAATTGGAAAGATGTCCTATGTGCGGTATGTTCTACAAAGGAGGACGAAATTACAGTTTGGAACAATTGCTGCGCTACATGAAACTACCTTGCATGTATAATCATAATGGTTGTACAAAATATTTAGCAACAGTAAATTTCAAGGATCATGTAAAAGTCTGTGCCTCCAGGGATAGAAAATGTTTTGCTGCAATCGATCAGAACGAAGACTGCCAGTGGACCGGAACAATAGAAAATATGGTTAAACATCTCCAAAATGATCACAAAGATTTAGTGATAGGAAATAAAAACGCATTTATTTGGAATTTCAACAAATCTAAATATGGAGCAAATCTCGTCGGTGATGAATACTTCTTATTTCGTTGCAGACTAGCAGTCGGTAGCAGAGAATCATTTTGTTTTGCAATGGTACCAGCAATGGGTCTAATGAAGAAAACACCCAAGACATTACCTAAAAGTTCAAAATCTTACTGGAAATTAACTTTCAAAAATTTTCAAATTAAACACAAATCCTTCCAATATTGCGATCTCCTTGATGATGATTTCGAGTTCATAATACGTAAACGTAACCTTGATGTTTTTTTAAATAAACATAATTTCTGTCCTGAAATTTTCACAGGTGCCATCGAATTTAGCGCAGAGGTTGTTGATATGTGAAACGTAGAAAATTTTGTGAGCATGTGATAAAACTTTATTATATTTTATATAGGATTTTAATACTATTATATTTTAGCCTTGATGGCCATTTATTTTTAAAATGTTTTTAATTTATTTAACCTAATACCAGTTATATAATTAATACCAGTTATAAATCTATTTTTTTATAATACATGTTAATTTTATATGTTCAATAAATAAAATTTTAATAAACATATTGTTTTATTTTTTCACGAAAACTGTATGTGAACTGATGTTATTTTCTTATAACTGCATGTTTTTACAAGACAAATCAATTGCAGGTATTTTAATACGTCATTATTAAAATTAACACATGGTTTAGTTTTGATCAAATAGATTGGGTTATTTCCAAATAAACATATTTTAGATACATATTGTGATGTAAAAACTGTAATTACTGCAGAGTTACAAGAACGCAGTTCTAATCACATATCCATAAAATTATGCTGTATTCGAGATTATATGAACCACCTAATATTAGGTTGTCAAATATCTCCATTCCGCTTTTTTGCTCTTGGTTTATAATACAAAAATGCGGAAGGGAGATATTTGACAACCTTATATTTCAAATATATGTCTTACAACATTTTGTTAACAGGCGCCTAAATTAAGAAGAATTTAGCACTGATATATAACATGTTTCATTTAAAAAGATTTGACAATTTCGCATTCTTTTAGCAAGGATTGTGTTCCGCAAAGATATATTAGCAATACTATTACACTATTAAATAAAAATGCCATCAAAAAAATTCAGTTGCGAAATAGCGTCTATCACTATCTGTATAGTTTATACATACACCATATAATGGTATTTGAATTCATGTCTATAGGTACATGTTAGTCATTTTTATGTAGTGAAATATATAAATATTTTTAAAATTCATTTAAGTATTTATTAATCAGTAACATTTCCCACATACCAGCTATATGTCTATAATCCTTCTACATAGTAAATATTGTATCGTTAGTAAATGCTCCTACAAGTCGAAAATCTTTGTTACGCAATATCGCTCTCAGGAATTGCGGACTGGCCGTCGAAGAACAGGCCGGTCTTGGGCAACAAACACGCAAGAGGTACTGTTTCTCAACAGGTGCTGGCAATATGATATTCTGGAAATAAATTAATTTAGAACAATTTAGAATAAATACATTTGGTATGGCATACCAAAAACCAAAATTATTTAAAAAAAAAATTCAAAACTTTGAAAAATAGTTTTTTAAGAAATTTGAAATTTTTGATAAAGAACTTTTTTTGAAAAATTTGATTCTTTTTGAAAATTTTGAACATTGTTTTAAAGCAATCGCGCTGCATAGCTATTTTAAAGTTTTATATAAAATATCGAAGCGCGTAAGCGCCGGGTCGTAGTCTAACGTGTAAACATTGGCACGGATCCCATATAAATGTTCACAAAATTTGTACTTATTATTAAAATCTCTATAAAATATCTGATGGTATAATGTACATATGTCTAATGATCATTTTTAACCGCCAAATGGCATTATTTTTTAAATTTTCTATTGGATCTCCGGAAATGCTGAATCTGCCTTCCCAAAAATTTCACATTTCATTACACGTTCACTTCGTCAATACAAGTAAAATGTTTTGTAAATTATTCAAATCGGACGCTTCGCTCTCTCACAATAAGATGCCCCGGATCTTCGAAACGGCTGGACCTGCCATCGCCAAAAACTAATCAGCACGTCTCTTTATCAATGGGAATCTTGAATTATTAATCAAATCGGTTTATTCGTGTTTCCGAAATCGTCGACAGAGATTTGTATCCACACACACAGGGGGCGTCCATTAATCACGTGAGCAAGTTTTTAAGGATTTTTGGATCCCCCTTCCCCTTGGTGATACATGCTGATATTCAAAATTAGCCCCCCCCCTCCCCAACCAAACATCACGTGTATTTTCAGTTATGTGAAAAAACTGTAAAATTTTCGAATGAAGTAATTTTGTTAATGTTTTTTAAAGAAAAATCTGTTAAAAAATAAATATACCTGATATCTTACTATACCCCTCCCTCCCATCGTGATATTTCGTAATTTTTTGTCAAATCCCCTTTCCCCTAAAAACCTCACGTGATTATACATCTATTTTTTCTAAGGTATCCCTGAACTTTCAGAATCCTTCAGAAACGTAAAGATAAATAAATTAAATATATATCTGATGGTATTTTTTTTAATTATTATTATGTGTTATCTTACCTAATGGAAACGCAGATGAGTGTTGTTAATATTTTTTTAGTTAGTATTGTAAAATATTTATTGTTAGCAGTTTCTGCTTACTGTTTATAAAACAGATTGCAGAATAAAATTAATAAAAAAATATCTATAAGATCTTTATACTTATAATATCTATAATTGTATAAATTAAATTAATTTGTTGAACACATTTCATTTCATCCGTGGATGTAAACTGTAATCAGTAGCCAACAAAACATCTCTGAGTGTGCATATGCTTTTGCATGGATTCCGATTAAAATAGCTTGAATGCGCGACGAAATTCTAAACTTTGATAAATTTTTATAATTCAATCCCGTACCGTAAGCCTATGATTTAGTATGTTATTTCAAACTATAAAATCTATCGTTGTACAAAGTTTCATCAAAATGGTAAAAAAATTTCAACGTTCAATTACGAAGAAACAGCTTGGTCGATCTTTACCGAAAACTAATTGATTCCCAAACAATAACGTTTTTGAAATTTTGAGCTAAAACGTGAGCAAAAAATGTTTAATTATAAAGAAACGGCTCGGCCGATCACACGCACAAAATCGATAATAGTCTTTTATATGATTAATATTGAACAGTTATTCTGAAAGCAGACAAAGAATACCACTTTTGAAACTAAGACTTAAACCCAAGCAAAAATATTTGTTTGATGATCCGTCGTCTGAGTTTATGTAGTTTTATATGAGATGATTTAAAGTCTCTTTGGAATAATTCAATGTTTCAATTATAAGATAGTCAGATATTTCAATCTATAACTTACGTCTATAGATTCATTATTATCATTTTCTAATAGCATTTCAGATCTTCTTGCGTCGCTAAACATTCGAGAAACTTTTTCTCCTAAAGGACCTCCGGCTGCTCCTGGCAGTGGGACTTCTACTCCTTCCAGTAATTTGCCAACCAACGAATTAACTTCCTATGAAATCAAAACCAAAATTAAATTATTTTTTTTTATTAAAATTGTGAATAATTTTTTAGTTACAACAGTTGCAGCAAATTCTATCATGATATAGCTGATATCTTTCGCATTAAATACTTTTTCCAATTTTATTGTTATATGATTAACCCCAAAAAAGATATATACCTGGCTTGCATAGAGGAATTTCCTTCGCCATACAAAAAAATGACAAAATTCTTACAATTTTAGTGTCAAATGATTGAGGATGACTTGAAACGTCAAGGAAATGAAATTGGCTAATTAAATTTTAATATAAACTACTTCAAAAAGTTAGTAACCACAAAACTGCCTTTCAAGCATTTAATATTCATTAAAAAATGATTGATAGAAGCAACCAATTGAAACTGCAGCAAAAAAAACAAAAAATCATTATAAAAACCATATATAGTTTTTTGTCGCTAATGAATCTTGAGAGATTATATAAGATCTATACATGCCTGATTCTCGGTGGTATTAAATTTCTTCCTTAAGGATTTGCAACGTGCGATGGTAGCTTCGAGTTCACAAATTTCACCACAAATCAACGCGTATCTTTTTAGGCGGTCTTCTGCTTTGGATACATTTTTAGGTTCCCTGCTTAGACGTGCTACTGACAATAAAACAGATTCTGCATCCGTAGCTGAAAAAAACAACAACAAATCACAATCTAGGTAAATCTGACATATGAATATACAATATTACCTATTAATGGCAATTCATCTTTACATCCGATAGCTTCTACATGCAGACGATCTGCTGCAGCATGCATGAGTACAGACAAAAGCATTTCGACAAACTCGGCCAGCGTTAAAATCTCTAAACGATGTAGAATTTTCTCTGCTTCTTTTCGGTCATCAAATAAACGTTTCTGTTTCCTAGCGCAAATTGGACGACAACTTTGCCATGCAGTCAGCCAGGTGTTTCCCGGAATTTTCATTCTGGGACTCAATTCACCTTTGCGACAACCAAACTCATCCAGTTCCTCGGATTCTATCCAATCGCGGGGTGAATACCTGAAAGTGTTAATGGATAATAAAGAAAATTATTATATAAAGTTGTAAAATTGTATACTAGGGATCAATCCAAAATTTTTTTTTCTTTTTTTCTTTTTCTAGTAATCCATACCCGTTGGTGAAATTTATTGAATGACCATCGATTAATAAAATAAGCCTTGTAATTAGATACAAACTACAAATAAGAATATACTCGGTAGGTCCATGGTAGGTCTTAATATTACATATTTAAGAAAATGTTTTTATAATTTCATTATTTAGTTATAGTTTTTATAATTTTAATGTGTAACAGAAATAATGGCTTATATGGGAACACATGTGGCCATGAGTGCGGAGACAGTTTGGCAGTAGAAAAACAAAATAAAATGTGTATCATGTAAAGACCTTATACTACATGCACTGCTAGTCGACTGTGACGTCGAGCGAACATTGCCGACGACAATCGCCGACTCTCCCGAGTGATTAAATATTATATTATGATGGCTGATAATTTTGTAAGAAATGATATTGATAATGTTTCCCATGTGGAATAAATGTACATAAAATCGAATCCACCTGTTAAAATCAATTTATATCTTATAGGACCTATGCTAGGCACGCAACATATGACATATGACATTTAATCAACCGGGAGAGTTCCGCGATTGTCGGCAATGTTCGCTCAAGAAGTGACTTTACAGTCCCACCTATGTTTGGGCACTATATACAACGGAAAACATATGAGGATTAATAATGCATGTAGTTTAATGTCTATGGTATCATGCCATTTTCAAATTTGTAAAAACGATCAGAAATTTAGATACAGTTTTGATGCGGGAGTGATGTGGCAACACAAGGTGGCCATGAGCGTGGAGTTAGTTTGGTAGAAACACAAAATACATGACATGACATGACATTTTAATACAGTTCTGTACTTTCTCACACATTAAATCAATTTCAATACTTTCTATATTCGATAAATTTGTTTTAATTCATTTTTAAATACCGTCTTGGAAAATAAAATAAAATGAAATAAAATTTAATAGTTCTCATTTCTGAAATATGTCTAAAATACAATAATGCAATAATGCATTCAATACTAAGAACTTATCTTACTTAGACTAATTTAGAATCCCAAAATTCTTCTATTTTCATTAGCTATAAGTTGAGAGACTGACAAAAAAATAGAAAAATAAAACTAATATTTTGTTATTATTCAGACACAAGTGTTTCGCATTGAATTCAAATAAATTGAACAATTGATTTGCATTATGTATTTCTAAAAGTATCTATTTCTATCCTGGTGACAAACCAAAGCGTTACAGAAAATACATCAACGTGAATAGATGGCACAAGGTATTCTTCTAAAACTTTGTGACCGGCTTCAAAACATAATTTGAAATAAACTTTAAATTATTTCAAAGACACCAATTCATAAGAAAATCACCTAAAATTTAGGCTTGATGCAGGTCGAGCCATTCTGCCATTCATATTTTTAGATATTAGAATATTATGAATCAAAATCTTAAACATAATAAACTTATTGCATATGAACTCCACACTTGACCACAACTAATTAAAACCAAATAATTATTACTACTAAAACCATTTACTTTATTACCATTTAATGAAGTCTTCCAACTGTGCACCCGGATTGGCAGCCTTGAAAGCCTCCATATCAGACAACAAGGAAGCACTCATGAGTCTGGCCCTTGCTTCGGCGCCTTTTTCTCCACCTCCTGCTAAACGGAGCAGAGCTTCGGCGTCTTCCTCAAGCTGCTCCTCAGTTTTAGGAGCAGGTTCTTGGGTTATGGGCACGTAAATTGGTTCGCCGGTAGAAATGAGACGAGCTGAACCGAAACGAGAAAGACGGCCTTCTGGTTTATGTAAAGCTACAGGCACTGTACCTGATAATAGAAATAAATGAAAAATAGTTATTTATGTATATCAGTCTTTTCCAACCTTTAGGGCGTGAGGATGTTGCCAGAAAGACATGCATATGTTTTTAAGATACTATTTTGGAATTGGAAGCAAAAAAGTCGAATCAGAGTCAAAAATTGAACAATTAATTAATTATTTTTATGTGTATTTTTACGTGTTTTGTGCAATAAAATGAGCACAGTTGAGCACTTATAAATTTAGATCGATGAAAATTTTTTCAAAAAAATTCCAAATTTTGAAAAAAACAAAAAGGTACAACCATTTTGATAAAAAAACGGGTGGGCGCAGGTACAAAAACGCAGGAAACCCCACGGTTGCATTTCTATAAAATAATATCATAGATTTGAAAACTATCCGAATCCAAAAGTTTTAACGCCTAATATTTATATCAAAACTTTCCCAACATTATCCCTAGATTCTCTTAATAAAACTTTCATTTCATTATTAGAACCACTCGAACTCAAGTTTAATAAAACCATTTCAACATTTATTAATAATTTCAAAAACTTTATATATCACCATTATCCCCAGCAGAAGTATCGGAGCAGTCATAAAATTCTTCATCAGAATCTTCCGGACTTTCGGACTTATTTTCAGGATTTGTTGAAGCAGCATTGTCCCGTTCTTGCTGCCGAGCAACGCAGCAATTCAGCAATTGTAATTGTTGGTGAAGAATACACGTGCGAGGATCGGGAAATCCGCCTCCAACTCTGGAAAAGAAACAGAAATATTTATAAAAATTGTCAATATATGATTCAAAAATACATACTACAAAATTTATGAGTCTTTACAAAATATAGTGTTTATTAATAAAATATATAATGTTTTATTATGAATCACAAACGATATAAATTCTCATAGATCTAAACCAAATTATTCAAAATATTTGTTAACAATGTTAATGAACAAACATGAATATTTCCAATATTTTCTACTCATACATGCAATTGAAAGTTATTTTAAAAATTATTCGTATAACAATATTTCATGTCATATGTTATGGAAACATCCCAAAAGCTTTATTCTGTGTAGGAAAACTAATATAAAATTATTACCGCAAGCTCGCAAATAATTTCATTATGCCCCACAGACAAATTACTACTCATATATACGTTTTATGGAGAAATTATTACATTGCTTTGTTTTATGGAAATAAAACTGTCATACATAAAAGCTACAAAGGATAAAAGAAAAGTTTACTCAAGCAGTTTCATTTATTTATATTAGCAAATTGAAAATACTTCGGTCCAGTAATCATTAGACATATCATATAAAATAATGTTTATACTCCTTTAACAATTCATTATGCGTTTTCCTTATTTCCTTAATTTGAAATAATATTCAAAATATAGTTTATGTGATCGGGGATTATTAATTAATATAAAATTATCTCACAATGTATGTTGATTCGGATAATGATGGAGCATACATCATTATTTTGAACAAAAAAGTGTTATAATTTTTATTTTTTATTTTATAATTGTTGTGATGTTTTGTTGTTTGGTGTTATATTTAAAAAAATAATTTTGCGTGCTGTTCCTTCTTGTATAATTTTGCTGAATGATGACACATATCAATATTAATCCATTTGTATGCGACAATTTGGCTGCTAAACATATGGTAGCTAAAGGGCTTATTGCAACAGGAGTAAGTAGCAACATATTTTTCAAAAGAATCTTAAACGATATTTATATATTTTATATCTCGATTCGATATGTAAACTTTTCTGCATAATACTGTCCCGCAGTAAACAGAGTTGTGCAGGTGCGTCATTTTTGTTTGACATTGCTATAAAATTGTACTATCATAAAATTTGGTTTGCAACATAAAATTTTAAATTTTTCGTATCTCATTTCATTTATCAAATTTGATAATGTTTAACCATTTTTGTCATTGCTAAATTTATTTAATAGTTATCTTGATCAATATAAAAAAAACACTCCTGAGATTAGTAGATACAAAGCCTAGGGACTAGTTATAATATACAAGTTGTCTGGTGTTTAAAGAATCTGAAGCAGATTCAAGTAAACTAATTTAACAATTTGAAGAATTCTAAATTGTGTTGGTATGTGGAATTAAAGTAGAATGAAAGGTAAATTCAAACTCTATTTCTTTGTTGGTCAATGGGATTGATTAAAGAAGTTAATTATACTTTATTATGTTCTCATTTAGTATCATTCCTTTTTATTTAGGTATTAAGATCATTTTCAGCTCATTATGTGTTATTTTAATAATATTAAGTTATTATTGTAATAATATTAAGTTATACTTGACTTATACCCGGACGCCCAATGCCCCGGATCGGCATTCGATTTAGACATGTTTTAAATATGACCAAATATTTACTGATGTTCAGGATGGAATAGTTGCAAATATTAAAAAAAAAATAGTTATATAACATTTTTATAATATCGAAAAGGATAAAGATTTAAATCAATGCATACCATTCCTCGCCTAATGTTTTTTCCTTCTTTTCTACAGGTAATAATTTATAGCAAGTTATCCAGATATTTTAATAAAACAACCATGTATATATTTATATCCGTGTGCACGAAGCAAAAGCTAAAAATATCTCATAAATCCATAAATAAATCCCCGTGCATATCTCTTCTGACGCCTTGTCATGGAAACAGTCCGAAACAATTCTGTTATCCCTCTAGAGATATTAGCTAGGAGTGTGTGCACTTAACCTCCCATCATTGTTTTATTGGCCCCGATACTTCTGCGCTCGTTTTACAACAACGTGAGTTGCTCACCCCGCATGATAAATGGAGAGCCAAGAGAAATTATTATATGTAAAAAATTAAAGAAAATATAAATATGTCATAACAACCCAAAACTAGATTACCATACCAAAAATTCCTTCACATTTTTTAAGTAAAACTTTTTTAGGCGCGACTAAGGTGTAAATCAGAAAAAATACAACGGAAGTGCGTTACGGCTTACTGATTACTGTTAATCTTTGACTGCTGTTCAAATATCAACGCATACAGTACATTAGAATACATTTGGATAAATAATAAACGAATTGACATTTAGTCATTACAGTATTACTCTATATGAGTAACATTAATATAAAGCAATATCGTGTACATTCATTAGCAAATACTTAACTTCCCTAATTAGGATTAATTCTTTTAAATAGGGGAGAGTCCCGTAACGCCGGACGGCACCTAAAGCCGGATACTCTATTTAACAGGTATTATTTAAGCGAGTATAAATCTTTTTATTTCAAAATACAATTGAAAGGGGCGCGGGGGGCACACAAGTGCAGGATTAAGCGCCAAGACTCACCTGTGACGCACACGGTCACGGCAGGAGCAACCCTTTGTTGTTTTAGGCGTAAAAACACGGCATCACCTAAATATCAATGGAAGTAATTGTAGTGTATTTATGCATTTATATTTTAGTGGCAATCAAAAATGAAAGTGGTACTTGATTGTTATCCGTAAAATGATGAATATTATTAGATATTTTAAACAATTTTAGTAGGTACCACCAAAAGAACAAAATTGTCTGTCCATTAGCACCGGATACTAAGTCGTCCCTTAGCGCCGGAAGTAAACATATTGATATTTCTTGTGAAAATTGACGTAATTTATTCTAATTATTTAATTTTGTTCTGTAAGAGCGCTAACGGTCATTACATAACCCCATTTTTCGTATTTTCTAGTCAAAGAATGAAAATCTTATGATGAATGCTCCAGCTGAAAGCATCGGTGTGGCCCAGCCAAAAGTGTGGATAATTAGTGATTTTTTTGCAATATCTAAGAATATTCGTCAAACACAAATGTGCAGACATTCCAAAGTGTGGAGATGGGTATATATGTGTTCAATGCTGGTTATTTTGAAGTGTCCGGTACTAGGTGCCACTTTGTAAAATTATATATTTTGTTACCAAAGTTTGATTGATAGTATTAATTATTGTTTAGTAAAGATTGCGTTTTTGTTAATTTAGTTTGATTTCTAACTTTGTTATCTAACATCAGTCATAACCTAATAAACATTTCGTAAACTATTTTTTGATTTATTTATAAAAAATCCTTAGGCACTCGGGGACTTTCCCCTACTATTTACAATGAGATAATATTACTTCTTTCTGGAGACTTCAATATTTTATTAGTTTTGATTTTTTTATTCAGAAATATTACATTTTAGTGTTTTTATTAAAATATAAGTAAATATATATTTAATGTTTTCTATTCGCATCCTATAATGTTTTTTAAAACATCTTCTTCTGCGAGTTATATCAGGATTATACTATAAGTTCAGCATATTTCAATAGAAGGCTTTTCAGATAAAAAAATCATTTTCTAGAATAGCAAACACATTTTTTAACCATAGAACACCCAGTATTATCTATTCGAGCACTGACAATCTAGCAATTTATCTTTTTGTGCCGTTTTACCTTCGTAGGCAGATAACGTTCAACCAGTTCTTCAGATCATGCATTTTAAATTATCTCCTCGTTTCAAAGTTTCGTTGAAATCTTTACACATAAATATATTTCTAAAAGTAAAATTAAGTATCACAAATTTTAGAAAATAATTATTATGATAAATGCTTAAAAGTGAAGAAAATGAGGGCGAGTTTGAAAAATATAAGCTAAAATATATAATCAAGATGAACTTGTTTCTGGTGAACTTATTAATGAATATCATATCAAGTTAAAATATTAATTTAGAAAGATCATGATTTATTTAGAAAAGTGAAATTAGAAATAAAAAACCCCGACTCTCATATAAGTCACAGCGCAGCAATTTTTTAGAAAATAAATATAAATATATATAACCAATTAGTTATATAAATATATACCCAAAGCCCTTACTATTCAGTATAGCCTCGTGCATTTATTTATAAGTGTCACGTGTATTAAGTATTATTATATTATCATCATAATATTAAATCGATTTGGTTTTATTCAAAATGCGTCATAGTTGTACAGAAATAAGCAAATCCAATATCCTCCAGAAATTGTTTGCGTGTGGGTCGAATAAAGGACCCACTTGACTCATTAGGGTACCATCAATCGCAAATCGTTATGAAATCGATGCAAATATTAGAAATTTGAATTATGTGGAATCTAAATATAGGTATTAGATAATATGGAGAATAAATATAGATGCATACAATCAATATGCAAAATAGTTGCTTTGTCAAACAGTACTATTTTTGAATATATTTATGAAATCTAGCAGCTTTAATAAAATAAAAAATGTATAAAATACGTGGTGCACAAATAAAGTTTTTCTTTTTTAATTTTTTTTAATAATAACCAGAACATAACCTTTTCATGGGCAGTTGGGAAGGACGTTCTCACTAAGTCATTTTTTTAGATGGTAATGCTGGCAATTTTCACTTATTGTTTGAAATACATTCAGATCTATATTTTTATGTGAAAATGAACATTACTACCATCTGATTATTTGCTTGATTTTCTGACAAAATTTCGATATCTGGCAGTTCGAGGTGGTTGTCAAATCTATAACCCCGTGGTTGCAAGACCAAAGCTTTTACTACTGAACCAAGACAAGCCATCAAATGTTTTATTTAATATAAATAGTACAGAAGCATGAACAAAGGCATTTTTGATATTTCGCATAATAAATTAAATACAAATCAGAGAAAAAAAACTAAATACACATAATATGTTTGATGTTTTTTGAACCCTCATTCAGCATATTAGATGTTTCACCAAATAGGTACATTG